CAGTTAAGCGATGTGTGATAAATTACTCCAAGGTATTCAACAGATTCCACCTGTGGTATATCCTCATGATTGTAAGACAGAGAGATGTTCACAGGGTATTGCAGCGGGAAAACAAGGAGGGCACATTTACTCGAATTAAGTAGAAAGCAGTTGCCATCGAGCCAGCTCTCCAATATATTAAGGTAAGTCTGCAGCCATTCATATAAGGTCTGAATGTTATCTGCCATTGCGAAAAATGCGATATCGTCTGCATAAACATACATTGTTATATCCTGTTTACGTGGAATGGTGCTTATTAGTAAATTAAACAGCACCAGGGAAAGCACCGAGCCTTGCGGTATCCCCTCGTTTGGGTATGAGTAGATGATGAAAACCCATATTTAAAACGATAAAATTTCCTGTCTGCAAGAAAATTGTGATGGTTGCTGTTAGTTGCCGAATCCAGAACAGCCCATGACAAAACCTTGATTGCATTGGAGCAAAATGTTAAATCCAATACTGAGCTAGTCTGACCTCGGACAAATGCTACATGACCTTTATTCAGACACGAGAGGTTGTGATCAATAGTGCATTCCCACAGTCGCCCACCACAAGAATCTGTCCTTATACCCCAAGACAAATGATGTGAATTAAAGTCTCCTGTGAGTACAATTTCCTTTCTACATGCTACCAAAACGCTGTCAAGATAACGCGTACTTTGCACACCGGAAGAAAAGTAACAATTTACAATTAAAAAAGGGTGGTATCCGGGGAGACACAAGTCTACCATATTTACTCGATTCTACTGCGCCCTCGATTGTAACGCCCACCCAATTTCCACGACGAAAAAAAAAAAAAACATAAGACATCGATTGCAACGCGCACCCATTTTTCTCGCTGGCCCGCACGATCCCATCACTTGAAAAAACAACTCTTTTCGGAAGCGTCTTCCATTTAAATATGAGGTACGGGCGAAGCTTGTGCCCATCTGACGTGTAACAGAGCATTGCCGTCACTGTAGTTTTACCGTGGACCGATGTCAGCACGCGAACTTGCTTTGCCCCCTTCTTCTCGACGGTTGTGGTGCCAGGCATGTCGAAGTAAAGAGGCGTCTGATCGTCATTCCCGATTTACCCAAGCAGGTAGCCGTTGTTGTGCCGCAAGTTTAGGAAGAACCTCTGAAAACTGTGAGCGCTCGTGTTGTGTGGTTCCTCGCTTCGTCCTTTGTGTTTTCTCTGCGCTCCTAGTTCGCTGAACGAAGAAAATGAATTACCAACTGGCCCACATTTTGATCCTTTTGGAACTGTGAAGCTTTTCATTGTACTCCTCAGCAAAACTTTTCGCATATGCCCATTCCCCTTCGGAGGCAAAAGCCTTTTAAGTTAGCCAGCACCTGCTCGCTTTAAACTGGCTCCGCATTAGACCTTTTTCTAAGGCTAATTGCATAGCCCGCACTTGGAGCAGTTTTGTCGTCACGGGCCGCTGTGCCGCTCGATGTTCAAGCACATACTCGCCGAGCAGCTCTTTAATTTGCGAAAACCGAACCTGCTGTGGTCCACTGAAGCCTTTGCGTAAAGCTCTGCTGTCGACAATCTTCTGCTTTTGTTTACGCCAGTGCCGCATGCACGTTTCGGGAACTCCGAACAACCGCGATGCGGCCTGATTTCCGTCCGTTTCTGCACATGCGATGACTTTTCTTTTAAAAGCGGCATCGTGGTGCACTCGAGTTTTTGGAGTCGGCCCTTCCATGCCGTCGATGCTAATGCACTACAAGATGACGAACTCCTCAGCACACGTACGAAGTGCTGCACATGGGAAACACATAGGCAGAAATCGCTGACGCGCCATGCCGACGCACGTAGGGGGCGGCCATTTTGGAAATGTCGATGGCAATAGAATGACCGTATTCATTTTTTTTTCGTACTCGATTCTAACGCGCATTCGATTTATGAACTCGCTTAATCGGAAGAAAGGTGCGCATTAGATTTGAGTAATTACAGTAATGCTAATATTTCGCAATCCGATTCTAACATTCTGAAAAAAATTTTTGCCCTATGGCATAATTCACTTGATACAAGGATCATTAAACCACCACCACGTGATGGGCGATCTAATCGAAAAGAGCAAAAACCTGCAAAATAGAAATTTTCATCTGGTGTGAGCCAAGTTTCTTGGAGAATTGTAATATCAAGATTAAAATTATTGCAAAAGTAATCTATGTCGTTTGAGGCTGAGAATATAGAACAGCAGTTCCACTGTAGTACCCTCAACTGACCTATGATGTTAGGCGCACCCCAGAGCCTCATGTCGCGCCCTTGTTAGCTTCTTCACGCGAAATAGCCTGATTCATTCCGTTTAGATTTGGACTTGAGATTGGTGAAGATAGGGGATCTGGTACGTTAATTAGTTCGTATATCGAGTTCCATATCTGTAGCAGCACTTGTGCTGGGCTGAGGCGTATGGCAGGTCCAAGTGCACCTGTGTTCCCGACTGCTTAGCCTTGACTGCAGATGCAGATAGTTCGTCCAACACTACATTGCGTAGCTGTGTGACATCGATGGTAATGTCCGATACTGCAGGTTCTGTACTAGTCTGTAGTGTTTGTCCAATCTGACTTGAAAAAATTTGCACCAAACAGTCGGAAAGGTTAAATATGAGTTTATCCATTGCCTTACTCACTGCCTTTTCCACAGCAGTTTCAATAGCCTGCGATAGGTTTGAGTCCATACTGGAAGTGCAGCGCGCTGTAATACCAGAGTATCCAAAAGCCTTGTCTCTAACTATGTCAATGGCTTCCCTTCGAGAACGGCAGCGGCGGTCAATAACTTCTAGGATTTGAACCTCCCGGGAACGAGCGGAACAGTCAGAGTTGTCGGCGCAGTGACTCCCCCCACAGAGACAACACTTTTCCGCTGTTGCAGTACACTTGCTTGAAGAATGGCTCTCTCCGCAGGTGCTACAACGAACGTTAGATTTACATCCTCCCGCACTGTGGCCGAATCTCCAGCAGTTCTTGCACTGAATCGAACGAGAAGCAAGGGGCTCTACTCGGAAGATCAATGGCCATAATTTTATTTCCGACGGACATTTTGTGCCCACAAATGTCGCAATGACAGATTCGGTTCGTACCCTCTCTTTGTCGCCTAGGCGATTACACCGGTAAATTGAAATTACACCTACTCCAGAGAGCCCGTCTAGGGTCTCAGCTGGACTCAGCTTGGAGTCGACTCCCCGTACAAGGCCTTTGGTACATGTAAGGTGAGGCAGAATAAAAGCACTCACCGGGGTAGCAGCAAAGGAGGTGCATTTGAGAAGATCCTGCACGCAGGTCTGATACGGCGACCTACACACGATACCTCCTCGCCCAAATGGGCGCACATCTGTGATGGTCTGGAAATGGTTTGAAGATGTTTGAGGTTCCTTTTGGACCACCTGAGAGTTTGTAAGTCTGATAAAGCCTCCATTTGTAGGTACCAGTGCCACGGGCATGCTGTCGATACCACTGCAGAAAAAGCAGTCTAGCTGGCAATTCATTAGACGGAGGGGATGCTGACCAGGCGGATTGCGCCTGGCCGGGAGAAGTAGTCGTCATGAGCACTAGAGATATGGTTAGACTCAGAAACAGATAAACTATAGAATCGGACTCTAAGACAGAAAGTTAAAACTACTCAATCCTCAGCCAAGAACACCCCAGCAGGTTGAGCACGGGCAAGCTTGAAGGCGAGACTAGAACGGTCTTGCGAAGGATCTCGCCACGAAGCTATAGACCATAGAGACCCACGTCTGCTGAAAGCAGCAACCGCCAATGGCTTCTTCAACTGAACAGAAGCTGTCACAGCACAGCGTGGCTGCATTTGTCAGTATGATCATGTGTCATGATCTGATCATGATCTGACTGGATGAAGGCCGTAGTCGACGCTCAAGGTGACGTCACCCGGTAATAAATGAAGTCAAGGACCCACTATTTCAGCACGAACCGTTTTAGAATCATATGAGGACGAAAAACTTCGAATTCACCACATATTTCACTGCACCCTCAAAACAATGAAACCAAAAGCCTAGGTCTAGACAGTCGACGGTTTTTTCTCATTGCCAGCGTAGTCATTAGAATTACGAATGTAGTTTTTTTCAGTGCCTAGTTCTGTCATGCGTCGTCCTAGTTTGCTTGCACAGATCTGCATTTTACTTTGTATTTCACAGGGCACAGATGTGTTTCTTCCCCTTTGCATTATAGAAATGCCTCGAGGCTACAGACCTGGCCTTACTCAACCTGTCTGTTACAAAAGTTTACGAATAAACGTTTCTTCATTTACTTCGCTTACGAATGTTTCTTCACTTAGCTTACTTCGTATGTCTATAAACATGAGCTGCATTTACGAATCTCGCCGTCACTTTGAGCCGACGAGGGCCGCCGGCCACGCGTTGGCTTGTTCCCTCCAAGAGTGGACCATACCGTACATTTTACACCGTGGCTTAGTGTCTGCGCGCTTGGATTTTGATTGATGATGCAAACTGCGGGTGGCAACGCCTGTTTTCATTTTCTCGCTCAAGTTAGCGCAACTAAAAAAATTTGGAGGCTGGTCGGAGATTTTGGCGCAACGTAGCGTAATTTTAGCAATTTTCATGGTGTTCGCGCACCTGGGCGCAAAAATGGAGCATTGTATCAAATTGGCGCAATTAGAGCAGCTGCTGCACCACTGCTTAATTCAACTTCTATACAAGTTCTTTGACAACTATCACAACAATCTGTATGGTAGCTATTTCGGTGCATTACTTCCTTATAGTATGATTTCTCCTAGATCGTGGTTTTATAGATACTGCAACTCAATGACCGCACCAAAATTTGTGTTGTCATGTTGCACCACATGAAAACAAATACTGCTGCTCTCATGGTGCATAAATATTTGTCTGATCAAAGATGTAAAATCAGTGTGCCTAAATACAATGCCATACTGACTGTTGTTGCACAACAAATTCAACTCACAAACAGTACTGCTGTTTTGGCACAAAGCAACAATTACTTTGCATTCTGTCCCCACAGCTTTAATTTACTACAATGCATCATGAGTGTGATGCGCTGCTTTGCAAACCAGTGCAACTGTTTGGGCAGGCTGGCTATTAAACAGTGAATATTGAAAATATCAAGCAGTGGCAGTTACTACAAATATGCTAGCAGTGTGTGATCGCTGAAAGCACCGAATAATGGGCAGCAAGTAAAGTTCCCACATTATGTTTCAAATCTATAATTGTGCTAAAAAAAGCAAAAAAAGGAATGGCCATAAATTAAAATCAATGCTAGCATGTCATGTCAGTACTTCTTGTACACTTACCTTAGATCATAGTAGCACTGCACATTACACGGGTGCTTGTTAACCGCGGTGGAAACGTCCAAGAGAGCACAGCCGTACACCTTAGCTTTCCTTGATGCACCACACTGAACAAGTGCTCAAGGCATAGAACTCCGATAGGCACACAACGCCTGGCATAGCATGCAAGGAAAAGTTTCTCTTGAAGGCTTTCTCTTTTTTCTCTTCCAGTCCGTGTGCAGAGAGAAACAAGTGCTGAACACCAAAGGTTCAGGAACTACATTTATCAAGATTACGTAATTTCATGAGCTCTTCTTTAACAAGCCCATTCATTGCTGTCTTTTTGTAAATTCTGTTACACAAATTAATAATGCAACTGCAAGGCTCTATTTGCTTGCCATGCCAGTACCAGCAAAAAAAATAACCCTCGATTAATGTGCACGGAAAATGTTGTCCAACAGTCTTTTTGCAAGGGCAAAGCCCGTGTTGGAGTCACTTGAATGTGCAACGACAACGAAAAAGACAGCAGGTGTAAGGAAAGAATGAGTACTTTCCATTTGCTTTGCCTTGGACATCTGTCTGCCGCATTAACGCTTTTTGACTGCTGCAGCTCTTGCCACACTCCTTTTGAACATTGTGCCCTTGTGGAGATGAGAGGGCAGCTTTCCAAGTACAACAGAGCTCATTCACTGAGTGAACAACAGTGCTCCATACATAATGCAGAAAGCAGCACTTAGGTGCACATGTTGGGTGTTAAGACATGGCTTCCCAATGTCCTCAGCTTAAGCCCAGTACTGTGTGAAGAGTCGGGCGCTACCACAGCCAATGTAGTGCCAGTTCATAAACAACATAAACAACAAACCACGCAGCCCAAACGACGTTAAATGTTCCCATACGATACTTGTGCCTGACACAGAACCAGGCATAGCTGCGTTCTTGTTGATTGTTGCAGCTCATCAACGTGACCAAGAAAAAAAAGCTATTCTGCAGGTGCTCATACACTTGTGACAGTCAGCATCCCTTCTTGGTCTCGTAGGACGCTGTAGCACACACATATCCCTGAATTGGCAGGACTCACAAACACACACTGGTCAGTCGTCATCTGTGTGGAGAGGGAGGAAAGAGAAAGAGTGCAGCGCATGCTGCCTTGCTTTCAGCTAGTTCTGCTCCACTGGCTCAGGCATGGACTGTGTCCATTAGGGACTCGTGGTACGGCGGAGGCTCCTCGGGCGTTAGCAGGGCGCACGCCTCCTCTGCATCTGAAATGAGAGAATGGAGCCCTTCCGAGCGTCAGCAGCCACACATGTACATAAAAAATTATCGTAGCTCAAAAAGGACAAGCACACGAAGGAGTCCTTTAGCACTTGTAGGCCAAGGGGGCTAACAATGAAACTTTGCACACAGTTTTATTTTTTTGGCTGCATTTCCCACACGAGTGGGAACTCTACGTCTAGAGATTTGAATGAGACACAGTGCTAAAGTGAGTGCACCTTTTCAGCTGAGCGATGCTGGCCTATGGTTTGTAAGCACACCAGTAAAAGAAGGAAAGCGGAACATGGCCAGAAATGTGAAGAACCTGCAAGCAAAGCCAAATCACATGTTTGTAAGAGGGCATCAAAGTGCATCTGCAGTAGGAGACAACCTTCTCTTTCATGAGTTCTTTGCTGAAAAAGTTTATGCGGCAACATTTCAAGCTGTTGGAGGGCACCTTCTATGCCAATGTAAGCTGCAATCTTGAAATGTGATACATGCATGCATCAACACAGCCTACTGAATTCAGTGTCGCTTTAAATATTTAAACTGCAATCTCTGCATCAAAAACAAGGTACCGAGTGGAGACAGTGGGTGCCATGCTGCACAGCTCGGCCATGCTGCACAGCTCGACCATGCCGTGAGAGAAATCCTGGGGCACCTACTGCAAGCACAGTTATGACATGCTCATAATCCATCATTCACTATGCATGTTTAAGGAACGCCTAGTGAGCTGCACACTTCGTTAACGCCGATGATGAGTTACCACTGAGCACCTTTGATGCTGATAATGGACTGGCAGCCACCCACCCGTTATGAATTCCCACAGTGCAACACCCAGTGCCTTCTACTACACGTGCAGCACAACATAGCTAATGAAACTCCTCACCCCATGCTTCTATATGATCTTTTTCCAGAGCAGCGTCAAGTACTAGAGTAGCTGGGCGGCAAAATACTTGTCTACTACACAGAATGCCTGTGCTTGGTTCTTGCTCGATCACCAGTTTTTTTCTCGTACAAGTCCAATTCTTTACTCGTGGACAACACTGGCACTTATTCCTCTATTATCTGCACTGTCGCTATAAAAAACTAGGCTTCCACTGCGAATTTGCCGACATTACTATACACAACAAATGCAACTCAAAAGAAGGCATGCAATTCTGGCCTGAAATCTGTAACGAGAAAAGAAAGAAAGATAAGTGACGAAGCTGTAGCTTGCAAAAGACGACGCCAAGTTGTGGTGCCAGCTGTGGTCCTACTGGATGAACACTGCATGGAATCCTATTTTTAAAGATTACAATAAATGTAATAAGTTGCTCAATGCACAGAAAAACTGCAATCAATAGGGGAAATGTGTCAGACCAGAGCGAAAGGGTTGATACGAGACATGGTGCAATAACTGTAGGCATTTTTATTCATCTACAATATCTCTACTCCACTGACCACCCTGGTAGGGACGACGCCAGAACACACACAAATGCCATCAGCATTCTCCTACTGGCTAACAACAGAGCAGTGAATGGCAACACCTGGCACAGATGTCTTTGGGTGAAGTTGACGCTTGCATAAGGCAAACCGGGCAGTTTGTGAACGACAGTAGAGCAAAGTAAACAAGCAGAATAAAAGACATAATTGGCTGAAGCAGCAGTTAGCACTGAATCACACAGAGCATGGGTACAACAATGCCGACAGCATCCAACTATTTATGCAGCAAATAATAAATTTTCCAAAATAAAATTCTACAACACTGAGCACTGAGAGCACTGAGAGGAGTTCATATGCAACAGCAAGGGACCTTTTCTGGATGAGGAAACAATGAAGAAACAGTGGGGAAAAAAAGGAAGAGAACAGCATGGAAAGGAAGCATGGCACAATTTCTCTATACTAAAGGTGTGGCGGCCACTCGCAGCACGTACGATGACCACGGAGTGTGATGGCCACTTCTGCACACATGTCTCGTTTTGCAGAGTCTACCAACAAGTTCTACGAGCTACTCCGCCTCCATGGCTGCTTCAAGGAGCATGTGAATATCAGTCCAATTAAAAACAAACTTAAAACACCCAACGCACAGTGCAACACAGTGTCTTACAATCTTTAAGCTCTTGTCACACCACACATGTACACAGGTGACGGCAGTCCCCACACCAGTGCAGTGACAACCTCTTTGGCAAAGTTTTCTGCGCGCCGCTCACATACACCAGACAGTTTGGCCAGTCAATGCATGGCTGTGCTGATGGCCAGTCCCCGGCTTCACAAAGCGTCACCACCCGTCTTGAGATACTTTGATGGCCATCGGTGGTGTCCACTAGAGGGGCGGTACATGCAATGCAGTGCTGCTCCGTTCCTTGTCAGGAGCGCAGGCGGTGTGGCTGAACGTGCATCGCAGGCCGCCGAAGATCTACAGGGCAAGAGAGAGATGGGGTATGCCACCTGTCAGCCACCTTTTCACAATGGCAACCACCTAACCTCCCTGCAAGACATGCACTTGCACGGTGTCACCGTTGACAGAGTCTGCCTCCAATTACTTTTCAAGGATACAAGGTAAGTACTGCACTAAGGCCTAGCAATCCAGCTTAGAAACCCTTGCACCTTTGAATATTTCCCCGGAATTCCTGCTGATACCAACAGCTCAGCTGAAAGGACTGCACATAGTCTTGGCTATCCATCTTGCACACTAAGGTGCAGCGCATAACTTGAGAAGTGTCATACACAACTCTTTCAAGTAGGAGTGTGCGAATATTTCAAATTTTAAATATTTTAAAAATACTGTTTGCTACTCGATTTGCATTGAAATTTTTCTTTTAGCAACTACTCAGCTTCCCAAAGACAAATACCGTCAGTGTCAAAGTTTTAGTGGCCCCTTCAAATTTTCCATATGGTTCACTCCATCATACGTGTGGCACAGCTGCCTTTCAGGTTCCGCTACAGTCGCAAATGTAGTGAATCTGGAAAATGCTGGATCCGACGCCGAGCTGATATATGTGGCAGAGGTTGGGTGCAATTAATGGTTCTTTGGACCTAAAATCTGGGCAGAGAAGTCCGAAAAATTGAATACCAAAGATGTTTAACGTCCAGAATTTCAGATGTTCTAGAATATATTGACTACGAGGCAGATTTGCAAGTCTAGATTTGAAGAGAGCACATCCTTGTTCGCCATGTCAGTTGAAAAAAACAGAATAGGCTACAGAAATAGCATCTTTTCCATTCATTCAGTTTTTCCAAATCATGTATGTAAATACCACTCGGCCTCAGCATTGCCTCATTCTTGGCAAGATAGCTATGAAACACTAACCTGCTTGTGCTTCATCGACCTAGCCAAAAGAAACACTTACTGAGGGGCACAGCGCAAAAACGGAACAGAGAAGAAATGAACACACGACATAAACAATGACAAACAACTGCGCATAAATTTATTACACCGGGAAATATATAGGTGAAACAAGAATAAAACCATCATGTGCACATAACCGTGAAAAGCGATGCGAATCTGCCATGAGTCGAAATGTCCAGGTTAACCACTCAAAAACTTTTTCCAGGAGGGCGAGTGAAGGCTCACTGACGCACATGTTCCCTTTTGTCTCGATATGGAAAGTCTTGTCAATTTTGCACTCTGTCTTGTTACGATATCTTGAGAGTACCTTGCAATTGTGAAAGAGTGAGGGTGCAGCCGCACAGCAATGGGCTGCCAAGGTGCTGCTTGTTCAAGACCTGGGGTTATTCGCGTGCTCTCTCAGATGAACATGGAACAACTAAGGCAACTCCATATTTCACAAGCTTTGTGTGTGCTGAAATGAACAGAAGAAGGCCTTCTGTGACCTTAACACCAATATACGGCACCAGGTCTAAAAATCTTAAGCAACCGTCACTGGGGAGTTCCTTGGTTAACGTGAGTGCATTGATATGTGCCTTGGCGCCCAGGTCTAGCGACAGAAATGCACCGGCTACCTAAATGATTTACTCCGTGCCTTGGCACCAAGACATGCCCAACACAGGAAAGACAAGCAACTTCTGTCATCCCCTACGTGCACGGTGTGAGCCATGCGCTCAAGAATTTTGATAGCAAAGCAGCCTTGGCTACACAGGACACAGTACGTGAAGTGCTTGAGCAATTAGTGTACAACTTTCCGTTTTTTTGTGGCCGCTTCTGTACTGGACACACCGGGCGCTGTTTGAATGACCACCTGAGAGAGCAGGCGAAATAATGTCAGGACTTCAACAAGCAGCCCTATGGCAGTACATTGTTCCTTGTGCTGCTGTGCCCCACTCTTTCATAATTGCAAGTAGTCTCAAGATATCATAAGACAAAGTGCGAGGTTTTTCATATCAAGACAAAGGGAAACGTGCATCGGTGAGCCTTCTCTTGCCCTCCTGGAAAAAGAGATAATGTTTTTGAGTGCTTAACTTTGTGGGGTCTCGATGTTGGCAAGAGAGCCATGCCACGCTTTTGGAACACGGACACAGTAGACACGGTTGGAACAAACCAAACAACACACATATTTATTTAACTACTTTTAGAACGGCGATATCGCCAGCCGAATTATTATACCATCAATTGTGATCTATGCTATGACATCCTTACACAATATTAAACAACACTGAACAACATGACAAACAAGGCGTTGTCGCTAACACCTGACTCACCACGTGGGCCCTCTGCAAACGGCCCGCGATGCCGTCAACGGCACACCCACGGCTAGAGGCAACCGTCCGCGCCACCACCCCACGCCAACAAAGAGGAGTTTATTTCTTGCGCACAGCTACCAAGGCTTCCCGCCAGGTGACGCCGCCGGCGCTAAGGTTTTCTAACCATGATGATGATGATGGTGGCGATAAATGCTCACGATAACAACGCCACTTACTGCCAAGCAGTTGTATTCTAATATGCGGCTTCTGCACGAGACACGTGTGCCACGTGGCGCAAACAACTTTACAGACAATTTATATACTTTATTTTATTTTTTTTATACCCATTTTTGTGACTGCTTATTCTGAAATTAACTGAAATTTT